ACAAGGAGGACAAGGTGAGAACTCCTCCCTCAAAGTCTTTCAGATGAGAAATAGTTTTTGAAAACATGCAGTTTTAAGAACAGGAATGCATAGTTGAGCTCTTTTATGATTACAGCTTTGAATTGGGGTAAAAGTATTTAACAGCAATGAGCACTGAAACTAAAGGAAAGAAATGCTGCACTGAAATGTCCCCACATTGCCTGGCTTGGTTTTCAAGAGCAGGAGTGGCACCAACATGGTTTGCTAAGAAACCAAATGTAATTTGCAGTATTAGAAATGTGTTTTCAGCAAATGCTTTTCCTTCAGTTCTAGCAACTCATTCTGTATCACTGCCACAGGGCTTCATTCTGCTCAGGTAACTTTCCCCCAGCCATACTCTCGGGACAGTAACTTTCATCAGTGGAAAATGGGACAGAAAAGCTGTTCTCATCCAAGCAGACTGACAAAACCAAGAGAAATATAACCCCTTTCCTGCAAACACCCCTGTGCTTCTCTCCCAGCTCAGGGCTGCAGGGAGCAAGGCTCCAGACCAGAGGGGCAGGAAACAGCCATACACACTGAGCCAGAAGGAACTGCATTATAAGGCTAAAGAACTGAACTTCTCCCCAGCCTGTGACTCCGTAGGAACAGCTACTCTGCAGCACGTGACCATGCTCTGTAAAGTTTTACTCATTCACCTACACCCTGACCCCAGCAGGAAGGTGGATGAGCTTACTGGTGACAAGCAGAGCAGAGGGCTCTAGGACTTGTCACCTCCAAAAGCACAAGCAGAACAGGTTCCCCACTCTGCAGTTCTGCAGGAAGAAGTCATCTCTTTCTATGCACTTTGTTACAAAGGGGAAAGAGATCTCAGGGGAAGAATTGCTTCAGTTGCATGAGAATTCTACGAATACCACAATATTTAATATGAACCTGGGGAGGCATTTCAAAGAAAAAAAACCCCAAACAGAAAACCTGGTTTAACCACACAAGCTGCAGGACCCTCTGGTTCTGCACGACACTCTGCAAGGCCCCATAGTATACAATCATTGCAGAACCCCTTCAGCTCATGCTGCTGCAAGAGTAAATAAACACCCAGTCCAACATGGCTCAGTGCTGACTTCATGTTCTAAAACCTGCCTGAGACACATAATTCAAAGTGATCTATTGAATATCTGAAGGACTATAACAGGAAATGCTGAATTGTCATGCCAGGTCACCGTGGCCACTGGAAGTACACTGGACTTTTGCTTAACAAAGGCCATGAAGTCCAGCCTGGGGACAAGAGCCCTCAACCAAAAAAATGCATTTTGTTTTCCTCCCACCTCCACCTAGCAGCTTTAGTGATTTGTGTAGAATTAAGGAACTGTGTGCAGATAAAGCTCGGAAGAAGGTGACATCTTTGCAGTAGAAATACACTTTTCAAGCTCCATAAACAGTTTCCAAGACAAGAAGGAGGAGGAAAAGCAGGTACAACACTTACCAAAAGGACAATGAAGTTTTTTAATTCCCTGGCATATTTGCAATCTGCTGACTAACAGCACCAAAGCCCCTGGTTTCCCAGGGGGGTTACAGAGAGTACAGGCAGACCAGGCTGCCAGCAGGCACAGCCACCAAAAATGACTTACAGGGAGGTGGAAAACTGATGGCCCAAGGCCCTGCATTGACACTGTGAATTTAGTGGCAAGTTTTGCCTCAACTGTGCAACCTAATATGGCAGATTGTGTAGTATAAAAAAGCAAAACAAAAACCTAAGCCAGACACACATGGGGATTCATAAGGAAGGTTTGGAGCCATCCAGGCAACTCCACAGAACCTGCCAGAATCATACAGCAGAGCAATGTGTGTCTGCACAGGCCATCCTGAGCTGCAGTTTCAGCCAAGAGGCATTCCCAGGCCACGTGTCCTTTGAGCCACAGAACATTTACACCAGGAGAAAAAGACCCCCAATAGCAGTGCTGTTGTTTCTCATGTCCAAACAGAACATCTGCTGACAAACTCAGGCACAGAAATCTGCTTGGTGGCATGACTTTCTCCCAATCAGGACTACAACCACCCTGTGAGAGGGGGCCAGAGCACACCAAACTGCACCTCTCACCTTTGCCAGTCCAGAGAGCAGCTCCAGGGCAGCCAGAGAGATACTCATGTCCTGCCTCCACTGGGAGTTGAGCCTTTGGGTTACCAGGTGGATGCTGCGTATCAGCAGTCCAGCAGCTGTATCTGTATGAAGAGCTAGGATATAACCCCCAAACCACACACCACAGGGAGGGAAAATAACTAAGCGTTAGTGACAATAAGCAAAGCACAGGCACCAGGCAAAGCAGCCACAATACAGACATAAAATAAACCACACTCAACCCAGAACTGGGTTGCTGACTTCTTCCCAGGCTAACTCCCTCCCACTACACCTTCAGGCACTACAGACACCCATCCAGACTCCCTAGCTCAATTTCATTTAGCTTTTTAAGATACTTTTGGATAATCCCAGTGCTCTGCTGCACTTCAGCAGCAGAACAGCCAGCTGCAGGTTTTGCTATTGAACTTAAATGCTGCCATGTAGTCACAGAAAAATGTAGGCATTAATGTATATTACACATTAGTAGTTGTATTGATGGACTAACAGAGCATGTGTAATTTCAGGTATCTGTGTCAGAAGTTAGCCATTCTCTCCATCCCCAGTGTTTATCAAAAGCTGCACTAGTTCATTAGATGTAGATAAGAAAGAATTAGTGCCAGAGAAAGTGACAATAATTTCTAATCTTCCATTTCCCTGAACCTTTAGCTCAAAATTAAAAACAGAAAATGTTTTAAGTATCAACTGTTCTCACTTCCAAGTAGTAGGAACATAAATATATATTTGTTAGAACTGAAGTATGCAAATGAATGTAGGAAACAAGTAACTGCTCAATGACTAATCATGAACAGAATGGGAAGGATGACAGCTAAGGGATATCCTTCCCAAAACTCAAATGATCATATTTATCCCCCAAGAGCTATGTCCAGTGTTACACTAGGAGCAGACTCAACAGTCTATGATGTGTTAAACAGTAACAACAGCCCATCTTGTTTTCAGTTTTCTCTTGTTTGAAGCATCCAGTAGAGACACAGAAATTCTTTTCACAAATCCCTTACGGCCTTACCTTCTGTGCACAGGAAATTTAAAATATCCAATGAGATGAATACACTATAAAAATGTATCTCAAGTCATGGTTGGAAGACTCAGTAAGTCAAATATTTAAGAGGTTTTTCCAATCTTACAGATGGGTATTTTTACAAGCACTTGCCCACACAAGTTAAACACAAAATTAAAATGGACTGCTGAAAACTAACACTTTGGTTGTTTCAAACAAGCATATCCTGGAGGGAAAGCACCAACATGTTTATATGAATCCCTAGAATATGCTGAAGTTTTCCCTGCTAATCTCCTTCCTCTTGTTGTTATAGAACTAACTAGATTAAAAAAAAGCCAACACCAGACATTTCTGGTTGGTGAGGACAGAGTTCTCAGCCTAGGCTACAACATAATAAAGGTGATTTGTTCTCACATTTACTTGGCCAACATCAGTGAGACTGATGAAGACCAAAGGAGCAAATAAAATTCCAGGATCTTGACATTCAGCCAGCTTGCACCACACACAGGTTTAGAACATGGATTTCGCTTCAGGTTCAAAAATGCACAGTACAAAGACATAGCAAACTGAAGTTAATTACCAAATTCTCTTGTTATAACAAAATGATACATCACAAGCATTCTGCTTACTTGCTCTACAAAAACAGGAGCCCTCAAATGTTCTTTCAATGTGGTTTAAGAAAAGGTGCTGCAAGGGTCAGGTGAGCATTTGGAATGCTCAAAACAAAGGACACGATTCACTGACACTTGCATTTATCCCATTATTGTTGACAAAAACTGTGTCTTGAAACCATAAACTAAAGGAAAGCGGTTTGCAAACACCTTTTTCATAAACTTTTACATTGTTATTTTTAAAATGTTTAGGGTCCTTTAGTAGGATTAAAATAAGCCCTGGAAGGGCACACAGGAGCACAAACCAGCAACGCACGGAGGGGCTGTGCCCTGGGCTCAAACACCTGTGCATGTTAATGCGTTAAACAGAACCAGGACAGAAAACCCAGGAACATCACCTGCCATACCACGGCAGGGTTTGCCAAAGTGCTTTTCTCACCATAATCCCTCAGGAGGGCCTGTGCTGGCCGCTCGCTGTCGGGGGTCGTGGGCTCTGTGCTGCCTCCACTGGCAGTGCTGATGCCACTGTTGGTGCGGCTGTGGCTCTTGAAGAGGTTGTTCTCACCACCATTCTGCAAAGGGAAAGGCAGTTCTGAGCCATGAGATTTTTCTCTCATATACAAGATATGCTCAAACCTGGAGTGCTGTGCTCAGCTTTGGGCACTCAAAAAGGCCATTGAGGCACTGGAGCAAGTCCAGCCAAGGGCAGCGAGGGCAGGAAAGGGCCAGAGCACAGGGGGAAGGGCAGGGCTGGATGGGGTTGGTTAGCCTGGAGAAGAGGCTCAGGGGTGACCTCATGGCTCTCTGCAACTCCCTGACAGGGGCTGGAGAGAGGTGGGGGATGTCTGTCCTGCCATGACTTCAGGGAGAGGACTAGAGCGAATGGCCTTGAGCTGAGACCAGGCAGATATCAGGAGAAAAATTTTCCCTGTCAGGGTATTCAGGCAGTGGAATAGGGAATTGCTCAGGGAGGTGGTGGAGTCACCATCCCTGGAGGTGTTGAAGAGGCATCTGGATCTGGTGCTGGAAGACCTGGTTTGGGGTTTAGGGGTTACAGCAGTGACAGGTTAATGACTGGACTAGATGATCTCAGAAGTCTTCTCCAACCTTGGTGATTCTATGATTCTCAAGATGCTACCTGAGCCCCTCTCTGCAACAGGTAAAGTGAGAAATGCATTGTTCCTGAACAGGCAACTACATAACCAACAAATACTCACTGTTTCCATCTGACAGCCAATGGCTTCCAACAGTGCTGAATCCTGAACAATATTTAACATTGCACCTGCAGAACCACAGAGCAGAAGGTCACTCCAGACTGCAGTAAACATTCACTGCTAAAATGTCCAGAGAAGCACTGAAGGTCTAACACACAGAACTGCCATGCTGGTTTCTAAAATCTCTTATTAAAACATGGGATTTGCTCCAGGCTTAGCCATTTGAAGCAGATGAAAGCTGAGACAGAGTGCTTTCAGCTGTTTTAGAAATGCTTTGAACATAGTCTAGAGAAAAGACTGAGGGGGAATCTCAACCATACATAAAAACATCTTAGAGGTGGGTGTCAAGAGGATGGTGCCAGACTCTTCAGTGGCGCCCAGTGACAGGACAAGGAGTAATGGACACACGAAACTACAACAAGTTGCACCTCAACACATGGAAGAACTTGTTTATGTTGAGGGTGGCAGAGCACTGGAACAGGCTGCCCAGAGAGGTCATGGAGTCTCCCTCTCTGGAGACATTCAAACTCCACCTGGATGCATTCCTGTCACCTGCTCTGTATGACCCTGCCTTGGCAGGGGGGTTGGACTGGGTGATCTCCATAGATCCCTTGCAACTCCAACTATTCTGTGATAGGTCTGTCAAATTCCTTAGTTCAGAAGGAATTTGGTTTCAGAGAAGAGCTGGAATTGTTCCTTGTTTCCCACCAGGTTGTTCTCATTTGAAAACTTAGGTTACATTTAAGGATATCTCTCAGAAGGCCAGTTCATCATCTGAGGTGGGATACACTGAAATTCCCTCTACCTGGAAGCCTTCTCCAGCCTTTCACTTTCCATGTTCTGTTTTATATAAGTGCCCAAAATAGAGTACTCAAAAAGCTGTGGCCCTTAAGTGCAAGGGCTACACCAACCCCACTGCAGCCAAACTAGCCAGGAGGGAGCTCTCTCTTCCACCCTGGGAAAGATTTAAGTGTAATACACATATTAAAACTCTTGATGTGTCTTTGGTAAACTAGGAGGAAGAGCCTGTACCTGCTTGGCAGCATCAGCCCCAAGTGAGCAGGAAAGAAGCAGTAAGGACATGGACAGGTAACAGGCTGTCACTGACCCATCTTGTGGCATCCGTTTTAATTTCCTGCCTCCCTACCTTGCCTCACCCAGCAAGAACACTTAGGAAAACACCACTTGGTCTATGAAGGGAAATGACAGGACAAGGGGGAATGGCTTCCCCCTGCCAGAGGGCAGGGTGAGATGGGACATGGGGAAGGAATTCTTCCCCATGAGGGTGGTCAGGCAGTGGCACAGGTTGCCCAGAGAAGCTGTGGCTGCCCCAACCCTGGGAGTGTTCCAGGGCAGGCTGGATGGGGCTTGGAGCAACCTGGGCTGGCAGAAGGTGTCCCTGTCCATGGCAGGGGGTGGAACTGGATGGGATGGTCTTTAAGGTCCATTCAAACCAAACCAGTCTGGGATTCTATTCTAGCACCACTCGCTGTTCCAGCTGTGGCAGTTGGAAACATACACTAGTTTTGTTGAGAAGCTGTTGGTACATGTGAGAATTTCTGGCTAAACTGGAGATTCAAAATCTCTCCAACTAAAGCCAGCAGGAAATAATTTCACATACGCAAACGGGAGTTTAACAAGAGGAATGCAGGGGATGAACTGCTATGGACTAGCATGGCAACAATCTTGGTAAAAAAATCCCATTCAAGGCAGAGCATGTACCCAGCTGGCTGCAGACCATGGAGGGGCACAGGACTGCATGGGTGGGATCTAACAGAGCATCATCCTGTGGTGCTAGAGGTAGTGCTGGAGGCTGGGCAACCCTCCATGCACTACTCCTCTGTGGGTTTCACTTGAAAACCAGAAATATCCTCATCCCTTCCCCAGCTTTGGCTGCAAATCATTCCTTCCAATTATTCCCCTCCAGCCTTCCACTAGAAAAGGAACTATTTCAACAACTGCAAGGTAACCTTCCAAAGGTCTTTGCAGACTGGATTTGTGTCAGCATTTTTTGGCTCACAGAATTTTCTTGCCCTGCCCTGCTAACCAGGTAGACTGCTTCCCAGAACAAGACAGACACCTCTCATCACAGCACAAGGCAAACAAAGTGGTACTAATTGTAATTACTGAAGGACAGGAACACCGTGTTGAAAAAAGCACTTCTAAAGAGAGAAGAGGGATGGGGGGAGAATAATAGGCAGGTACATTTCTACTTGTCTGAAAATATGCTTAACTTGACAGATGAAACTATCCAAGTTTCATCCTCTACTTCCTTTCTGAGTATTTAGCATAACGTTAATCCACTCATTGCCTCAAAGAACAGTTTGTGGTGTAACAGTGCATCTCCAGACTCTATTCCAAAGCTTTTGGCTTCTGAGTACCAACACTGCTTAACAAATGTCATCTGTACTTTGCCAATGCTAGACCACCAGTCACCACTATTTCAGTTTGTTTCTAGGCTTAACCATGCCAAAACCCAAGGTCTTCCCTGTAATCCATTAGCCACTAATCCTTCCCAGCATTAAAATAACACTTTTTCCTACTTCCATTTCTAGTTATGACTGATTTTTCATGCTAGAATGTGCTTTACTTCTACACCTGCTTTTCAAGCAACACTTATATTTTTAAACAGAGAGAAATTAACAAAATGTGAGGCTTTTTAAAGTGTTTTCAAAGTCTGAGCGAGATTATACACACGACAACCTGCCAGGAATTTAATCCTTCCTCTTGCAAAGCAACACATTACTAATAACTCCTATTATCCCAGGACAGATTAAGACAGACACTTCTGTAACACAGTTAATAAATAAACAAGTTGAAATAACCTAATATCATCTGAGTGTTGTTGGGATCTGTTTCCGTCTGCAAAGCTCCTATGAGTATATTCACAAGCCTCAGCTTCAAGGACAGGAATGTCACAGGCTTGTCATATGTTGAGCTGTCATCATTGCTGAATTTCCCTTCCAGGACAACCTGAAGGAAAAATACACTGATTTCAGTATCAATTAGAGATCACATCAGCAGGGCATTGGCTTCCAAAGTCAACTCCCACAGCACACATTGCTACTGACAACTTGCAGTATGTTCTTACTGCTCCAGGCTTGCTGTAAGAGTTTCAGTGCTACAGAGAACCCCCAATACAACCCCCAAGCCACCCAAATCCCCCTCGAAAACAACCAGGGAAATCAAAATGGAAATGCAAAACAAGGTGGTAAGTTTACTACCTCAGACTTTATGGTTCCAAAATGATGAGGGAGAGGCAGCAGAGACAGTAAGATGTTAATGGAAGCTCTTCTTAGTTCTGTGGGGTTTACATAGATTTTAAACTTTGAGAGTTCTCTGCAAATCAAAGCATCACGCAATTAATCAACTTTTCACAGGAATCTGGAGCCAAATTTAATTAAGTTAACATTAAATACCCACCACCCAATGGTCTTAAGCAATTTGTAGTATGCAATGTAGCTGTTTCTTTCCAGGACCTATCCCAAAGAAGTGGCCGCTCAGATTTAAGCCCAGAATATAAACAGTATTTTATGCATAACTTCAAAGTGAAATGCAGTACCAAGACACAACACATGTGCAGAAGAAGCCATGCACAGGGTACTACTGAGTGCCTTACTTAGCAGAAACATCCAGAAATCTCTGAAGCTCTGACAAGTGAGGTTATATCTCCCGGTTTAAGAGCCTACTCCATTTCATCAGTCTGTCTAAATTACCAGTGTTTCCACTTAATGATGTGCAAGATCACTCAATGAATTCACTGCAGCCACAGCCACTAATGAGTATCTTGTGAAAGTCTGCTTTAAAATCAGGAGGCTTTCAGTATATTTGAGCTAAATCCCTCTTCTTCCCTATTCTCAAAGGCACTGCTATCCATCAGTGAACACGCAGCTAACACCCCCCATCTTTCACTTCAAATAACCACTATTATAGCATTAAATAAAACTGAAAATTCGAGCTCAAAGTGCTGCTATTATCACCTTCAAATCCACACACGCTGTGGGTCCCACATCACAGAATTCCTGGGTGAAATGACTCAGGAATGACAGAAGATCAACACCTCCCAACCACCCTGATGATGTTTATATGGAAATAGCAATTTACCTGTCAGGTAAAATAGTTTCAAGAGCTGAAATGAAGTAGGGAACCACGACATCAATGCCTTTGAGGTCACAGCAGAACAGAGGAGGGGAGTTCAGAATGACACTGGCAAGGACGGGGTGGCAAACGAAATCTGCTATCTGCAAACCCTGAATTAAAAGCATGTAAAATCTGACAAAGAAAGACAAGATTAAATTATTTGCACATAAAAAGCACCAGCATCCCACATGAACAAGAATGTGCAGCCACTATTTGATCTTGTCTACATAAAGCTTCAAAACCAGAGCTATGGAATGTTGATATGAGCATTGTCCCACGTTACTTTAGCACAGGCAAACACACCTGAGCAGCTTAACAAACCCCTCACAGACCACAGGTGAACAGGCAGTGCAGCACAGCTCCACTGAAATCCCAGACTGGCAGCTGTGCAAACAACCCCAGCTGGTTACTACTTGGATCACCTGCTCTGCTGTACTCCCTTCCCAGGTAAAGGTGGGAGCAGGACCATGATTTTAGCTCCCCAACATGCGAAAGACACTGAAATCTTGGGGGAAGGGTTGGACAGGACAATGGACAGGGTGCAAGGACAGGATACACTGACCAGAAAATGGGAAAATGAGACCAAACATGACCATGAGAACCAGTTCAAAAGAAAAGGCAGGGGCAAGAACCCAGCTGGCATCATCCTAAAGCAGCTAGCTTCTTTTGCAGCTTCTTGTTAGAGAACATATACATCCCCTTCTTTTTTTAACAGAGGAATCCCACTGACTGGGCAAGAGAAACATGAACTATCTACACACAAAATACTACAACATTCAAGAAATAAAATAATTCAGTCTTCTGGGAAGTTTTGATGCCATTTGGGACAAATGTACCTGAACAGATTTAAAATCGATTCTCTGCCTCTAGCCTTTGCTGTGGTATTTCTTAACAAAAATTTGGGGAAAAGGGATAGGCTAAACTGCCTTATTTTATTAGAAATAAAACTCTGGTAGTTCAGAATGCAACTGTTTCAAATAATGGAATATTACTGCATTTCTATAGTCAAAGGGGGGGAAAAAAGGCAACCACAAAAGAAACCAAACCCAGTGTTGTGGTATGTGACAACACAAGACCTTTGTGGTCAAGTGTACAAAGTCTTACATCTGCACACCTATTTTTACCATTTGAACAATACTCAGTGACACAATAAACAAAAATAAGAATACAGGAGGTTAAGTGCCAAAGAACACGTTCCTTCCAGCTGGAGGCACTTTAAGGGATCCCCCCTCAACTGAAACTTGAAAAAAACCCAATGAGATGCAGCATCATGAGGTGTTGAGAGAAGCCAGCACTGGGTTAGCCAGGGATCCCACCTTAGCCTCTGAAGGCCAACCAAGTGTTTTTGAACTGGCAACACAGGACCGGGACAGGGAGTGACTGCTATTCACTGGGAATTCATCTGCACCACAGAGTTACACCAACAAAGCAACGGGAAGATAGGTCAGTACCGAGATAGGTAAGCTGGTAATATTTCCTCCCCAGTCTTCTTGCTACAAAATATCCTACACAGTGTCCCGCATGCCTCTGCCCTTCCTGCTTCATAGTTGTCTGGGAATTCACTGGCGTCAAACATGGGGTTGGAAGCCATAGTGTCTGTGGACATTTGGGATCCTTTCCGGCGGAACTCCATACTAGCTTGGGTGGCTATAGCTGGGAAGAGAAAAAACAGCATTTCACTCTGTGTGTTAGCATACAGAATAGGCTCATGGGATCCTGGACACAAAGATCAAGTCCAATTTAGTAGTTAACATGAAGCTGTTAGTTCACTGCATTTGAGCCAGTGCCTCTGTTTAGGAAGTGTTTGTGGATGTAACTAGTTACTTTTCTTCATAAGGATGACAACAACTGACCTTCATATCCTAGAGACTGTCACAACTTCCTGCTGGGAAGAGTATGCTTATATCCAAAATTAGCTTCCTACCCTCTCTGCAGGACAAGGATCTCCCTCAGCTGGTTCTCATCCCCACAAAAACAAAGTGCCACCTTGCCTTGCCATCTTAAAAAAACCCCAAAATTTAGATGGTGCCATGACTATGACCTCCAAGGAAGTGCCTGACTTGCAGCTGGTCAGCTCATCTCACATGCTCCAAGCTGCTTTGATCTAGTTTTGTTGTACAAACATACTTTTTCAAAAATAATAAAAAAATTCTGAGTCCCCATATGCAAAAGGGAAGGTTGTGGAATCCCACTCCCCTCATCTAGTCGCTCTCTCCTCACAAGGTCACCGAAACTGCAAAATAAACAGGAGGTTAAAAGAGCCTCCAGACAGCTGCTACCAGGGGCTGACCCTCTCCTGCTCCCTGTCCCACACGGCTCCTGACAGCCTCTGGGCAGCCTGCAGGGACCTAACCAGGATGTGGTTCTGCCCAGCTCTGTGCTCCCTCCCCACAGGACAGTTCTGCCAACCCACACCACTCCAATCCACATCTTTCTGCAGAGATTTCTGGTCCCCCTTTCACACATCAACATCATGTGCATGCGATGGGAGAGCACTGGTTCTGCTGCCTCCATCCTTTCTTCCAGGATGGCAACCAAAACAAAACATACACTGCTCTCAATGGGATGATTGTTTTTCATTATTTTTTCTGGTCTCTTCCCTGGACAACTTCACTCTGGGATCACTAGTGTCAGAGAAGGGGCATTCTGATTTTTAGCTAAGACTATACAGATTTCCAAAGCCTAAAAAAACTCCAAAAGCAAATAGCAGACAATGTGCCCTCCTGACAAGAGTCACACCGAAGGATTCCTACCAGCATCAGAGAACTTCCTCTGTCTCAGCTCTGGGACACTGGGGAACAGCAGGTTCACAGTCAGCCTTGCAAACAAAGGCCTGTTAACACTTTGGCAGCTGGAATACCTGATAATTTGCAGATAAGGTGGTTTTTTTGGTTTGGCTTTTTTTTTTTTACAGGAAATGTCGTAATGACAAGTGTCTACTCTTAATTTTTTTTGTCCTCAAATTCATCATTTAGCCTACTGTTACCTTACAAATTTGTATGGCGTAAGTAGCAAATAAGCACAAATCTTTATGCATCTTCCCATGAGCCATTTTTCATCCTAGATAAGCTATCCAGCAATATACTGTAGTTGGAAAAAAACACTACATGCACAATGCATACAAATCAAACACTAGGTCTGTAAAATAAGCTTTAAGTAAAAAAAACATGGTTAGTGCAAAGTCCTGAAATTCATGACATGATCACAGACTAAAGTACAGAAAAGATGGGACTGATTCAGGCAGATTAATTTGCTTTTGCCAACAATCCTCCCCATTCAAAAACACACACAAAAAAAGTTACTTGTCTTTTTCAAGTAAAAGTGCAAAAGCTACAAGAGACAATGAGAATGGATTTACAAATAAAACATGGGATTATGGGAAAAGAAAAGCATGACTGCAATTAAGGAAAAGCTACTGGTTCCTACTTACAAGATTTATAAGAAAGAAGAATTTGGATAAAAGATGCTGCAAGATAATAGAAATAAAATGGAAACAAATCAAAGGACAGCAGTAGTTATAAAATACTTTTAAGATGGTGAAATCGTAATATAAGTTAAGAAGCTTTTAGCTTTTTTAAAAAATAGATTAAAAGCTTTATGACACAGCAAGCTCGTTAAACACGCAGGAAATTTGCATTCAGGTCCAAAATTATGGTCTTGAAAGTACCATGCAAAACAATGAACAAAAAGTTACAAAATATGGCTAAGATTTAGAGCTGTTCATACCAACACACCTTCAGC